CCCCATAATTTAAGGTATATTCCTGAATTAAGGGGTTTAGCGTTAAGGCTCCGCTCGAGGCTGAGGAGTTTTGCGCTTAGGAGTTCACTTTTTAGCTGGAGGAGGAGGCATACGGTATAGGTCTCGAGATCTCTAGAGTGTCTGGAGTCTGCAATCTGGGCTTATCGGCGTCAAGCAGAGGTTTCAGGCTCTGGAGGTTTCAGGTCTGGCCTCGGGGCCTTTGCCCTTTGACTTCTGGGGGTTTAAGATCGAAGGTCTAGGCTTGCGGGTTCTGGTATCGCACGCAGGGTTAGATTGAAGGTTCATACTTGTGCTTGCGTGCGGTGTTATTATGACTTGATCCGCGATAGCGAAGCTTTGCTTGTATATACCGCTGTAGTTGTTGCAGCATCATGGATATTGGTTGGGGCTTGATGTTCCGGCAGGGGGTGTTCTCTGAACCGTTTCAGGGTGCTCGACGCTTACGTTCCTACACTTCCTGGAAAACCCTGCAATTCAGCTCTTGTATCTACAGACTTAGCCTTGCAGCATTCGTGCCATGCCACTTGTACGTCTAGAACTCTTGTGTAACCCCTCTTAGATTCCCTCTAGAACTTATAAAACGCTATACAGCCCTATATGGCCCTACAAGTATGAATCCGTACATAAGCCAGCGAACCCCACAGAACCCTTTTCCAAGCCTATACAACATTATATACAAGCGTATACAACCCTATAAAGCCCTCGTGCGATACAGCCCTATAAACCCCTAGACGAGCCTACAAACCTATACAACCGTATAGACCCTATAAAACCCTACAAAGCCCTGAAACAACCCTCAAAACCCTGCAAGAGCTTCGAAACCCCCTATGCAACCTTCTACAACCCCTGTAGAACCTTCATACAGCCCTGAAAAGCATTTTAGAATCCTGTGAAGCCCAAAGAAACACCTTCTTCGGCAACCCTTCAGAGTCCTCTGAGGCGCCCGGAGTCGCAGTCCAGGTGCCATGGACCTGACGGGAAATTGGGACTAGGTGATTTTGAGGTGTGTGTGTATATATATAT